CAAGAAAAGGGAAGGCAACAGGCAGTTCTGCTACAGAGATATGAATCCAAGATTGTGAACTTAATGCACCAAAAAGACAAGGACTTGGAAATTGCAAGAAACAGAACCATGGAGCTGCAAAATTTACTGATAAGGGCAGAGGTCGAGGCCCATGAGTGGCAGAGAAAAGCAATGGACAATGAAGCTATGGTCATAGGCCTTAACAATAGGCTTGAGGTGGTCAGGGCCCTTGACGTAGAATCAGTTTGTGAATCTTCAAACGGGGAATGCAGAAACCGAGAAGATCAGGAGTTGAGAAAGTTGGCTTGTAAGCTGTGTAAAGCTCGAAGATTGTCCATTGTCTTTCTTCCTTGCAGGCATCTCTGCTCCTGCACAACTTGCGAATCACTTCTTGAGGTTTGTCCTACGTGCGAATCGGTAAAAGATAGCAGCATTGAAATCTTCCTGGACTAAAGCAGGAAAGTAGTGTACCAGCTTTTTTTGATGTTATTATGATGATCCCACCGGCTAGAAATGGTAGTTGTAGTACTAGTGATCTGTACGGCTTTTTGGCAGCCTTTTTTTTCGGGGATGGTATCTGTTTTGTTACAAAAAAATTTTTAGCTGTCAGTCAATTTACTACTACTACTTTCAATTCTACATGCAGTGATCCAGCTCCATTGTCCATGTCCATGTAGACATCATCGATATATGACGACGCGAGTACTTTGCTAAAGAATCTTTTGGGCTTGATTGAATTGTTACATTTAGAAATTTTTGTAAAAAAATAGATTGAAATAATTTGATGCGTGTAAAGTGAAAAAAGTTGATTAAAAAATATATTTACGGAAAAAAAATGTAAAACTTGTTCGTGTAAAATTACAGTCTAAACAAAGCCTCGAGTCTCTTCGTTCGTGGGGTTCTTGATTTTTTTTTTTTTTTTATTATTGTTGCCTTCCCTATTCCCGATTTGGATAAGTGGGGTGGTGAGTGCTTGTTCCAAGCAATGCAATGGGACAGCTCTGTGCTCTGAAGCCGTAAAAATCTTGTACCGGAAGATGGTTAGTACTGCTCCACTATGAACTGACGGGAAAAGATTTGAAAAGCACAATGATGATGACCACGCATACCATACGCGACGACTAACCTCAAGTCCATCCAGGACAGTACAGCCTTCCACTCCCGGCCCTGCATTTGTCGAATCGGAAAAAGGTGACAAGTCGCCCAAACTTTCCAGGTGTAGCAACACTGAGGGCACGGAAAACTCCACTAAACGATCCTTATGAAGGGTTATGGACGCAAGGCGAAGAGAGTGGCTAACTTATGGTAGCAACCATATTATACTACCCCTGCTCTCTGATCAGCAAATTAACTACACTATTTATGAATGGGCTAATCTTAAGCATTCGTATTCCAAAAATCCATGTGCATATGTTGTGGCCTTCTTCGCAAAACCTATCGATGGCTGTTGACTTCTTGTGCCAATACAATATATTGGGGTGAATTATGTTAAAAAAATACTTAAGTAGTAGTGGAGTTTTTACTCAAAATACTTATTAGATGCTTAATCATAATGTGTATACTTATATGACTACTTTTTATATTTAACTAGTGGAAAAAGCACAGCCTATGGGCGTGCAAATCAAGAAAAAATGAAGAAAAATCAATATAAGTTTTTTTTGACAAACAAATAAAAGTTATTGGGCATGGAATTTATTAGAAGTTACTAATTAAGTAGTTATCCTTAGTAAATCTCTACTTTTTATGGGTAAAATTGAAAAATTAAAATATGACAAAATTTTAACACTAAATCCCCTCTCATTCGTTATGCAAGTGATGGGAGCACACTCGATGCGTGTGTAACACTTTAAAGATCATAGTTAGTTCTTAACATTTTACTTAGCAAGTAAATGACAAATTTTCAATATAAAAATTATAATTAGTTCTTAACATGCTTAACAGTTTACTTGGCAAGAAAATGGCAAAATTTAAATATGTAAAAACAATTGGAAAAGTTGTGAACTTAGAAATAGAAAAGCATTTCCATGATCTAAGAAATTTTGTGGTTGGTCTGTTCGCTTGACCTTTTCAAGGAAGAAACATTCATTAATCACTTCAGTTAGCAAGGAAATGACAACATTTTGAGTATGCGAAAAGACTACCTTGACCTTAGATCTTGATTGAATCATCTCATGCCGAGGATGCCATCCACTGATTATGATCCTTAGAATTGTCCTATTTAGTTTTTTTGTGTGTTTTAGTTTTGTGTGCTATCTGCTCGTATTTTGGTGCTTGTGTCAATCACTCAAAGTTGGTTACAATATGAGTAGGGAAAGTTTGCAAGAGGGAAACGGTGGCTGGATTGAAGTAGTTATTTTGTCAGTAATTATTGGATTGAATTAGTTATTTTGTCACTAATTATTGGATCGAAGTAGTTGCTTTGTACGTAGTGTTTGAGTATCGGCGAAGCACTTATAGTGAGAGTAAATTTGAAAATACAAAGAGTCGAGCCCTTATAGGAATGGCAAACTTAGAAATACAAAAAATGACAGAAAAAGTTTATACCAAACTAACTACGGAACTTTATTATTGTAGCGATATAGAAAGAATGTCTTTGGATGTCTTTTTTTTTGACAAATTAGTGGCTAAATACTAAAAAAAAAGAGTCCCAGATTTGGGTTAGATCAATTTTTTGTACTATTATTTTAGTGTTACTTATTGAAAATTCTTTTGCATAAAAAATAGTTGATTTGTTTTTTACATACTCGTAAAAGCATGTAATTTTTTCAAGTAGTTTATTCAATCGTGAACACATTGGAAACAGGAGCAAAGAACACATTAGAGAGGTTTTTTTTTTTTCGGAAACGATAAACCTATTTTATCATACACTAAGGGGGAGGGGGCGGACCTAAGGAGGTCCAGGGATAATCCGAAGGGGACTGAACCACCACGAGACCAAACGGGTGCAGAGCACACTCGCCTGAATTTTTTAGAAACAAACCACTTAGATGTGACATTTTTTGGTCGGAGGCAAGGTTTGACCCCACCCACTTAGGTGGTGGCCACCAGCGTTCATCTTCATTAGAGAGGTCTTGGATACATGCTTTTTTTCGTGTGTTTTTCATTTGCTATATATACATATATGTATGCGTGCATGTATGCATAATCGCAAGTCTAAAAAAACCCTTATTGCGCACTTCTTGATGTTAGGATGAAGCTAAAAGGGGCAATTTCGAAATGTTAGTAATTTATAGGGATAATTTCAGAAATCTCTCTTGAGGTTTTTAACGATTTCATTGACCTCCCTTGAGGTTTTAAAACTTACACTAATCTCTCTTAAACTTAAGTTTTTTGTAACAGAATCAATCCAATTCAGAAAAAAAAGTACAATTAAAAGCATTTTAAGGAGTGAGATGATAATTTTCTTCCATATATGTCATTTTCTAATTGTCCTCGAGTTGTGTTAGTAAAGAAAAAAATTTAATAAAAGTCAAGGGTTATATGTAAAATTTGAAAAGATGCAGCAACTATAATCTGAAGCAATAACGGTCTTTGCACATAGTTAGCGCAAACTATAATGGCGATATTTTTTGTCATTTGTAACTAAATATAAAAGACACAACGAACTCTACAAAATCATTAAATTATTAGAATGAGCATCTCAATTTGGGTAAAAAATTCAATCTTTTTATTGTAGTTGGTAAGGTGAAAGTAAAAGTAGGTGCAAGAAACACACGTCTTAATCAACAAATTAGCAACAAAAAGCATGAATAGTTTGTATCGACACAAAATTCAACAAAATAAATCAGTCAAAAAATTATTCTATTTCTCTTACTGATAAGCCTTATCTATACAGATTATATAAGATTGTCTGTCATAATCATTGTCAATTAATATCAATCACAAAAATGGCGTCATCTTAGGATAGCGATTGACGCAAATTTTTATTGTAATTATGGTTGGTAATTTGAGATGAAATAATCATTATTTTGTTTAATTAGTTAATCTTATTTATTTAGTGCCCTAACCTTTTTTTTTTGTCAAATATCCACTTATAATAATGCATAATATATTAGGGCAAAGTAGTACTTTCATTGTATCTTATGTAAGTAATGGAGCCCAAATCTTTATAAGGGAGGTTAATATAATTTATAAAACATCTGGAGAGGTCATTGAAGAGCGCCAGAAACCATAGGGGAGATTTCTGAAATTATCCCTAATTTATACTAATAACCCAATGTAACTTTTGACTTGACTGATGGAAGAGGGGTAAAGTGCTCAAAATTAGATGGTAAGGGATAAAATGGTTTTGAGAACAAACATTAAGGGGGCTTACTGCCATGTATGATGTATTCTACATAATCAATTTTTTTTTTTGCATATGTGATTATTTAGAATTTTTTAACTTGTATCATAAATCTATTCTTAATTATTATATTATTTTCTCAATTCTCATTTTATTTCATATACACAAAATCATGAAAAAAGTGTTATAGTAATTAATCTAAAAATTTTTGCAATTAACCTTCTATCTCAACATGCGTCAACGACTTCGAAGTCGTGTTGAGGAATTGCACCTTTGGATTTCTATGGACAACAGCCCTGTCCCCTCATTTGCCATGCGAGAATGCTCACAATGAAAAGCTCTTTCCACCTTAAATGCATTTTCACCAAGAAATTAGAATGGTGAGGAAAAAATTTATTGTTCAAAGACTCCGTAGACAAAGTCAGATCAGAATGTTTATTCATTTTCTAATATTTGATATAATCAATATTTAGATGTCAGAATGAAATATATTAAATAAAAATTTGATTTAATTGTCCCGAATTAGTTTATAAGATGTAATATGTCTTTTGCCTTTTTGTTTTATTTGTTCTTTATTATTTGTTTATTGATGTGAAATTTTGATAATTTTATTTTAAAAATAAATTGAGAATTGATATCAAAATTCTTCAAGAAAATGTGTTTACGTAATTTTTTTTTTAAAGAAAACTGCTGCAGTCCGAACGATGCCTAAACTCCTGTTCGACTCCCTTGAGGAGGGGAAAAAAAAAGAAAAGAAAAGAAATTCCCTCAATCATTTGAGTTGGTCTTCTTCTCATCAGTCTGATCACCGACATCGGCCAGCCCAACAGGGCCTCTTTCCCCTCCGCCGCCGTCTGATCTCAGCTCAGCTCAATTTTAGCATTTTAGCTACAGCCATTCAAGAAAATTATGCAACAAGGCGATTTTAGCTCCTACTATCAGTATCCACAAAACCCAAACCCGGATCCGAATCCAATACCAGCTCCACTTCCTCCCACCCATCAAGCAACTCCTTCACCGCCGCCCTACGCCTCTGCGCCGCCCTTCTCGGCCAATTACGGCCCTGCCTCGGATTACCCTAGCTCATATCCTGGCTCTTCTTATCCTTCATATCCCCAAAATCCCAATCCTGCCCCCACTGCCCCTTCCTTCAATACTCCGCCTCCTCCTGCTCCACCTCAGCAAGCTCAACCTTCTTCTCCATTTCCCCAATTCGAAACCCATGGGCCCTACCCACAGGCCCCTCCTCACCAATCAAAACCGCCACCACCTCCACAGCCCTATTTCTCAACCTACGACCACCACCAGCAGCCTCCACCACCACAGCCCAGTTACTCTTCCGCTCCTAGCCCTAATTCCATTTCCAAGTCAGCCTATTCTTCAGCCTACCCATCTCAATTCAACCAACTAAGCTCCTCTGTTCCACCTGTTTATGATAGCCCATATGATCATAATGTGAAATTTGACCAACCAGGCAGCTATTTTGAGGGTTTTTCGGCCACATATGCAGGTTCTGGTCGGGAAAGATCGGATTTTGGATCAGATTTTTATGGGAAATTAGGCGACGGCGGTGGGAATGGCATAGATGGCTATGGTAACGGGGTCTATGCATACCAAGGGAGTAAGGTGGAGCCTTATGGGGCTCGAGGTACGGCTCCAAAGTCGTCGACTTGGTCTGGTTTTGATGATTTTGGGAGGCCAATCGGGTATTCTTCAGAGAAGGAGAGGCCTTCTGTTGCTTCAAGTATGAAGATAGTGAGGGCTGTGCCAAAGGCGGATACCCAGCAGGATGTGAAGAGCGGGGTGCAGAAGTTTAGAGTTAAGCTATTGGCTGAAAGTGGCGGCCAGAGCACCATGGATGTTCTTTGCCAGGTTCCTATTTGTTTTCTTCTCATATTTATCCAATGTTTCTGTTCCTTGTTAGTTGTATTTAAATTTTTGTGCTTGTAGTCCCAACAGCCCCCCCCCCCCCCCTCTTTCTCTCTTCTCCTCTCCCTCCCTCTTTTCCCCTTTTTCTTTCCACTTTGGTAATTGTACTCACACGGGGGCTCAAACTTGAGACATCGCAGCCCTGAAGAGGGCTCCAATACCGTTGAGCTAAAGCTTATTGTTAATATTAGAGTAGCTATAATTATACTAGTTGTTTCAACTTCTATCTCAAGCATGGTATATCTTTCAACTTAAGAATGTGACGTGAGGATTGCCTGGCTACAAGATATTGCTTTTACCTAAACCCCTGTTGCTATAGCAAAGTGGTATTTCAGATTTTTTTTTTGAGAAATTGCACTGCATTGATTTGTTTTGCTTAAGCACTGTTTTCAATTGCCCAAGGCAGAATTTGGACGGTGTGCATTTTGGTATTTGTATGTTGCTTCTAATATGCCAAGATATCTTTCAACGGAAAAAAGAAAAGGTTTCCAGATTATGACGCTCTTTAGCTTGTTTATGCTCAATGTATAGCAATGCTTCTTGCAAATCAGGTTCGAAATTTTTCCTACTTTCTTAATATTAAGGTCAACTCCACTTACAATTACCATTTTTATACAGTCTAGTGAATATATATTCTGTGTTTGTCAGTTGAAATTTGGTTTGGCAATTTGTAACAATTCTCTTCCTTGTTGTTTCTCCTAGTTTACCTTCATATGGAATCTGTCTTTCAGATTGGCTTGGATGGGATTCGCATGCTTGACCCAAGCACCAGTCGGACACTGAGAATATATCCCCTTGACACAATAACTAGATGTGAAGTATGCACTTGTCCTTTTTTTTTGGGTGTTGTGTTGTTCCTAGGGGGACTGAATAATTAGAAACTCAATACTTGACTCTACATAATTGACTACATATAATAAAAGGATTATACACTGTCACAGTTTCTGGCGAGATGATCGGATCGTACTTATGTAAACTAAGAAAGTCCTATGGGTCAAACAAATGAATGATACCATGTCACAGTTATGGGTGAACTGATTGAATCCTACTTAAGTATGTAAACTAACAAGTATCCATTTTCACATGTTTTCTTTTCTACTTTTTGTTTCCAGGAAAAAGATTTAGTAAATCAGACTCAGGCAAACATGAATCTGAGGTTTCTTCTTGGTTAAAATTATACGATCTGCTGCTGCCAATGATTTTTGGAATTCGTTTTGCAGACTCGTTTATGCTACTTCGAAAATAGAGGTGTCTTTAAGTTAGATTTTTTCTCTCTCTCTCTGGACCCTGGATTGAACTGATATAGAGAAGGGCAGTTGGTAGTATACAGATATTGATCATTCTTACTTGTGGAACATAAAGTCATGACAAGTTCTTATTGTCACGATCTTTTCGTGCATATATTATAACATTTACATTTAAGATTTGGTCCATATGGCTTGTAAGCAGTTGTAATGAAATTAACTATGTTTGATTCTAGTGCATCAATATCTTGAATGCTTTTTGGGGTATGATATGAATCTTATGTACTCTTGCCTTTATTTCTAGAAAATTGAGACAAAATGTTTTTGAATTTCTGATATTTGTACCCACTTATATAAGGTGATATTTTTCCCTCCTCCATTTTCCCACTTTTGGTTTTGAACTTTGAAGGCCAGTAAACAATGTTCTGATCTGAACAAGTTTTTTTAGTTATAAGCTGTAAACTGGTGAAGTAAAAATTCTACTTTGAGTAGATATGAATTTAGATTTTTGAGACGTCATGAATAATAAATGGTGACATATGTCATTTTCCTACATGATATTGACAGTTTTAGTTTATAGCACTATATCATGGATGTTTATTCCATGACATTCTGGTAGATTTCCTCCTTGTATGGATGTTGGGTTTCCTGTGTATTTGCTTATACAGTCATTTTTCTCTACAAAAGGTAACATCACCATCAACCTTTTCCTTTTGGTCAAAAAGTTCTGTTGACATTGAACCAAGGCGCATTAGGTTGCAGTCAAGTAGTTATACAACAAATACTCTTTTGGACACAGTGACTGCCGCAACTGTACAGGTCAGAATTAGTTGCGTTATTTTATCTCTCTTGATACAGCATGTGATACTCGCATATTTGCTGCTATGTTATTTGACCGATGTTAGGTTTATCAACTCTTGGCCTTTCTTATTTGGAGTTTTGACAGTGATAGTAACAGTAAGTAATGCAGCTGCATCTATCCAATGCAAGCCTACTCTTCTGCTTGCTTGCACTTAAAATTCACAAGGGATTCTTGAGTTATTTTTCCTTGTCTTTCATTTTGTTTTGATGATGGAGATTTTATTTATTATTATTATTATTATTTTTTAAGGGGAGAAGGGTTATATCTCAGCATCAGTGGTAATATCTGTTGACTGGATATTTCAATTTTGTGCTGAAGATCTTCTGCATCCGGAGACCATACGACTGAAGTCAATGCTATATTGAAAAAAATTAAGGAGTTAAGAGTGAAATTTAAAACATAAAATTGTCCTCAAGAGTCGTGTTTTTTTCCTCTGTTGTTCCTCCTCAGAAATTCACATTTGGCTTTGGTGCACACTGGTATATAACACCAAGAGATCATAGGCATAACCCTTTAGATCTGAATATCATTGCTAGAAATCTTTCCACTTCAGCAATCAAATATCTATCTTAGACAGCACAATCATCAAGTTAAGGTGATACCCTCTTCCTCTGACACACAGCATGTGGCCACCTTCAACCACCTTTCTTCTACTGAGGGGCAGTCCTCAAAAAGCAGGGTTGTTCTGGGAATAAATTCTGAAGATAGTGAAGTTGGCAATAAAGGAGTAGAATGACCCAGTTAGCCTCAAAGTTTTATCAGGTGCCATGGTGCTTTTAGTCAAATAGAAAGGGGAGTAATGCTAACATGCTATTTTAGATAGCAAAATGCTATGCATAACAAATATTATTACCTGTATGTCAAATTCTGTCATGTGCTCATCATCATTTTCTGCTATTATTTAATTGGATCCAGTGGCTTAAGTGACATGAAAAAGATTTCATGGTTGGATTCTTTACTTGAATACTTGGGGTTGAGATAATAGTCATTTATGCCTTTAATTTGGATGGTTGGTTTATAAGAACTTGTGCAATAAATATTAATTGCGTACTCTCTTTTTCTTTTTTTCCTTTTCCTCATTAAAAGTACCAGAAGCTCTGATTTCTCTTGTTACTTTGGTAAGTTTATGTTGGCGTTCATTCATCACATCTCACTTCACATTAGGCTCACACATATTACAAGACCTTACTTTCATGCATGTCCAAAGTATATTTGAGGTTGACACACAAGCATTTTGTTCTTCTAATTGGAGTTCCGTCCATAAGTATGGTCAAATGGTTATCTCCATGCCTTTTCTCTTTCTCTCATATTTTTTTATCCTCTTGATTCACTTTGTTGGTCTTTTTCTAGATTGTTTTACAGAACTGGGTAGAATGTGTGTTTACTTGTTTGCGATGCAGTTCAAGGAGATGGGAGGAAGAAGTAGACCTGCAGAATCTTCTAAGATTACGGAACAGCCCACTGAGAAGAAAAAAGGTCTTGCTGATTGGATGGCTTTCATGAAGCCTGTCAATGAGGAAAAAGACCATTGGGTAATGTGGATCCATGTCGTCTCTTGTGTAAAAACCTTCTTTTATCTTCCTGATTTATTTGAAGTCCTATTATGGGCCCGTGATAGTTGAATAAATTGAAAATATCTCTATCTGAGTTTCTTTACCTTCATCCTTTTTTTTTTGGTGACTTGAACTTGAAATTTTGATGTTCCCCCCCGAAAATAACTGTTTGTTACATTGTTTTCAGGGATTGTTTTTCTGGTTTGCTTGTGTGGCATATTCTTTCTTGAGGCAAGGATATCTAACCACTAATAATGATGATATTCATCAGAAATTTAGTTAGTTATTTTAATTGCATAATGCATGAGTAGAAATCTGTGCTTCTTGCCCCAAGCGTTTGGTGCTAATACTTCTGTCTTTTCCTGATATTACCTTTGAATGCAAACTATTCCTTATTCTTTTGGAAGCTCTCTAATCAATTCAGTTATGTCTACTTGTTTGTCTGTCTGTTTGGTGAAAATTCCATAAGAGTCACTCTCATCTAGGCTTATTTTGTTTGTGTGTGGTCACGGAGGGAGGGAGAAAGAGGGAGAGATATATCTGCAGCTGTTATTTTTGGGGGGCTATTGCCTCATCTCTTGTACAAAATAGGAAATGCATCCAGTGAAGCTCAGATTGCTTGTGTCATTATTGTTTTATTGCTTCTTTATCTCTGTACCGTATCATCCAATTAAGTATCTTACTGTAACTTTGCATTGATTTTCTGATTAAGCTGACCATTTTGAAGAGATTTTGATAACACTGGAAATTTGTATGGGAAAAGTGGTCGAAAGTTGTTTTAGTGGTATGGCACTATAACCATTTCTTGTCTGCTTTGTGTATCACTCTGATATTTTTGTCATTTGGAATGGTGCTATTGATGTCATTTTCATGATGTTTCACAGTTTCTTTTATTAAAATGTAGATTCCCGATGAGGCGGCCTCCAAATGCACAGCTTGTGGGACTGACTTTAATGCCTTTGTGCGCAAGGTATGTTTTGTCACCTTAATACAGTGACTTTCTCAATTGGACTTGTAATCTTTTGATCTTAAAATCCTTCATAATATTTTTCCTTGTTTGCTTTGAGAATTTATCCTTTTCTTTTTTTTGCCCCAGCATCACTGCAGAAATTGTGGAGATATTTTCTGTGACAAGTGCACGCATGGAAGGGTAGCACTTACCGCTGATCAGAATGCTCCAGCTGTTAGGGTTTGTGATCGTTGCATGGTAAAACACCATTCTCCACTTCCAGCTCTTGTAGTTTGTTCCCTCCCAAAGTTTGAGAACAGTGAACATGTTTTTTAGCTAGAACTTCGAAACTTTTGAGAGTTCTGTTTTGATTTGTGTTGAATGAAAATGATATCATGAACTTGGTCATTCTTTGTCTGAATGAATTGGTGCATTTGTTCATGGCCTGTGAAATTGCGTCTGATTGACTAATGCCAAGGAAGCCTTCGTGTTTGTTAAATATGTCCTTTGGTGTTTTCCTCTTCACAGGTTGAAGTTTCCCATAGATTGACTAACGCCAAGGAAGCCTCCAGCAGATCAGCTGCATTGCACAGTCACGAGGATCTTGCAAAGAAGCTTCAGGTGACACAAAACAATTCTTTCTAGTCAAATATCAACGATTTAGTTCACTGGTCATTTTAGGATCTTTTATGGTTTCAAGGCCCTGAGTGTGAAAAGCCATTCATGATTTGTTTTGACTTCTATGGTAATTGTGTTTCTAGTGCCCTGTTTTTCATAGTTACTGATGACTTTCATGTGATAGCTAAGAGTGCAATTAAGGTTGTTCCTTGATGATAATGATCATCAGTTCTATAAGGAGAACCAGCTGCACAAGGACATCATGTCCTTGCAATAGGAGCGTTACATACTGCAATTGCCCTTCTAGTTTTGATGATTTGCAATCAGATTTTAGAACTTGTCTATATGGATATGTTTCAGGACTTCCTCATGGTAGTTCCCAACCGAGCCATTCCATATCTTATTGAACTCAAATTTCATGTCCTATGAGGACATCAAAAATTCAGAAAATTTAATTCGGAGCACTTACAAAAAATTTATACTCTCGGTAATGGATGATTGGGTGAAGTAGAGATTCCTTATATCATGTTCACATATTACACGTGTTGGTCATAACATTTCAAGATTTCTGGTATTATTCCAGTTTAACTGCAGGCAATGTCATCAGGCTTGAGAATAAAAAAATGCATAGTTTTTATACATTTGCACCAGCTTTCTTCATTTGATAATTCTGGGGGATATTTTATGCTCTTGTGTTGCAATTTGGTATGTGAAGCCATAAGATGATGTGTACCTGAGTTCATGTCTTCTGATATAGCAACATAGGATAGAAAATCAATCTCTGTAAGAGTGAAAATTTGGCTATATGTGGACTCCTGATGTTGGTAAACTGTACAGGAGGAGATGGAGAGAAACCGCAAGGCATCATCAGGTAGACTAATCTATCCATGGACTTCAGCCATGTTTTCTTGCAATGATGTGATCCTTTGAGAAGTAACCCTTTTGATATTGTTGCTTCCACAGGTTCAAGGTCAGATGGCTCTGGAAAGCGGATGAAAGAGGTTGCATGCCCTACTTGCACAGTTCATTTGCAGGTTTTTATCATGTCTTGTTACTCTCCACATTTCAACTTTTTCTCCAGTGCCTAGCATTGATATGATCTATGCTTATCTAATGGTCGATGATAAAGGTTCAAGTTCCCAGCTCTGGATCAGAGACCATAGAGTGTGGTGTTTGCCAGCATCCATTTCTTGTCAGTGCTCACTGATGCTATGGTTAGCTTGCTGAGACTTTACTTTGACTTATGACAGTTTGGATTAATTGAAGAGGTAGATCTTCATGATTCAGATAATCTTTTTCTTTTTTCCCCGGTTTATCTGCCGTCTGCTTGATATCAAGGAGTGGTCTCTCTGGGTCTGTATGTGAAAATTCTTTGTATATCTGTGCTGCTTTATGCTGAGAAGTTGCATTGACCTTGTAAATCTTAATTGTTTTTTTGGGAAGTGCCCTGTTCATTGTAAGTTTGTGATGGTGTAAATTTTCCTTCGTTATGAGATTACCTTGAAGTTGAATTAGACTTTTCCCTTTTTCTCCAAGTTTTGGCGATTGTTTGGCTGTTGCAATATCCATTCAACTGAGTACCTCCCAGTGCACTGTCGTGACTTAAAATTCTTGAATGTTAATCTTGACTTTTTTTTTTTTTTTTTTTAATAATCTGGGGAATCGATAAACAATTAAAGATTTAATCTGATCGATATCATGTCTAATCAGGCGGTTTTCATGGATGTCATATTTCTTTCCGCAATTTTATGTCTGTGGCTCAAAATTATTATTGTGTTCTACACGTCTGATGAGATTATTTGGAAGAAAAGGTGGTTAAAAATTGAGTTTATGATGCGAGTAGGATAATATTTGTAAAATTTTTTCTAAATTGTACCATTCAAAAGTAGGGTAGGGGTTCAAACTTCAAAAAAAAAAAAAAAAAAAAAAAAAAAAAAAACAAAAAACAAAAAGCAAAAATCGGCTAATGCAATCTAGATTGGATTTAAGATATCGGTAAAATGGAATTCGATAAAATTAAATAATATCCAATTATAATGGTGGGTAAGACGGCTTGAGAACGGATGGTCCGAGTACGTTAGAGAATAACTGATTACCAACTTTTATAATGTAATGGTAATGGTGTATGTATTAGTTATATCTATACACACACATATATATATTGCTAAATACTAATTAGTAATTAGTTAACTGTTGACTACTAACCAGCTATCCAGTAAAGAATTACTAAATAAATTGATTGAATTTTGTTGGAAAAAATACATGGGAAAAAAATATTTTTGCTTACTATTGATATTTTGAATTTCGGATATTATCGAATTAACGATTTTTCAACTAAAATTCACTTACCAATATTCAATTTACCAAACTAAAATTTGGATGATAATCAGACACTGGTCCTAAAAAATCGATTCCAGAATTCCCAAAATTTTCTTTTACAGAATTCTCAATTAGTGGTTGATGAATGCCCCTAGTGTTCGCAGATTGGATATATCCAAATTGTGAACCAAATGGATGATCGGATCCGTGAAAATCAGATTAGTCATCCGCATCCAAACGGATACTCAAATTATGCGAATCAGATCAATCGATATCCGATTCGTATTCGATTTTAAATTTTCCTTTTAAAAAATATATAAATATCAAAGATAAAGCGAGTTTAACTGTATTAGAATTTTAAAAATATCATATACGCGACCTTATGATTATCTACAGGTATTACCCCGGAATCTATTGTAGAAATCATTTTTAGTGAGAATATCACCTATATTAATTAAAGTACCACATGTGGAGAAAGAAACCAGTGGAAAGCAACAGATTTAGGGCATTTCTCGTAAAAATCTTCCAAAAGTAGAGGGGATACAACAAACTTGGGGGCGAGGGATGTGGGGAAGGAAGGAAAAAAAAAAAACTTGGGGGCAGGATCCGTATATAAAACAAATGCCCTTCCTTTGCCAAGATGTCCTTTTCCTTTCTGACATTTTCTTATAGAAGTAAGAATTTACGTAAATAAACCTAATCCCCATAGTAACTTCAAAAGCCGGCAACTTTTGAAATCCTGTAAGGAACTTATCTACCCAAACCCTTCTCCCCCCCAATACCGATGTGGGATAGAAAACCCCACAGGGTGCCCTGTTACTAAGAGATAAAGATCCCCCAAGCCCCTGCCAAGATGTCCGCATGCGTACGTGTTTGCCGCTCAATAATTAATGTCTCAAACGTACGGATCCGGGGTTGGAACAGTTGTCAGAGCAACCGTTCCGAAAGGTATAACACCATTTGCACACGGTGTAACATCATTTGTACAAGGTGTAACAATAGAACGACAGCGAGTAACACTAGAACAACATTTTTGTGGGTCCCACACGACATGAAAATCGAGTTATAAGGAGTAATCTGAGCCGCACAAATTTTTTTGACCTAATCATGGCCGTGAACCTTCCGGAACGGTTGTCTCCAGCCCCCTCCTCCCAAACGTACCTGCGGCCGGCTTGTAGTGTAGTCAACAGCCCCTTCAAGGTCTTTAATATTCAGTTGTTAACTTATCACCCAAGATCAATCTGAATCTAAGCCCTTGTTTTTTTTCACAACCAGAATGTACTTGCTTAATGGGGGAAAACAGATCAAAAGACCACACTAGCATGTATGCCAAGCCATTCCTACTCCGTTTCTCTCAAAAAACGCCCCGCCCCCCGTATGTTGGTGTTTTTCTTTCAGAGCTTTCCATACCAGCAACACTATTGACCACTTCTGACATGATCATCAATTTAGTGCATAACAAGTTAAATTTCCCAGTCAACCGTGAGTAAATTAAATTGTTGATCTTGCTGGATCTACCAATAACGTCCCTGCTATTATCTTTATTACAAGCCGTTTTCCTACATGATAAATATGCTATTATGGCTCGCTAGCTAGCTCAATATTCTTTTGGCCTTGCCAAACATGGAGCTAATTAATATATCCGTCATTGATTTTAACGTTAAGGGTCACTGACGATTTTTGCTCTCTAGAACATGCAGTGATACGTATTCAAAGCATCTACCAGAGGCTGTGATGAAAAGAGAAATTCTTTCATTTCCTTTTAAATTGTTACTTAAAGCCAAGAAGGTTCTTGGCACGCACAGCTGCCTCGTAGACTTATAGGACCAAGAAGACATGGGCATGCGAGCAGAAAAACTGAAATGCGTGCGTGGTTCTGAGGTTGTTTACCCAACCTAATCATTTTTTGTGAATCAGCATTGTAACATAATCATTAATTTACAGAATATGTGCGTGCTTCTGAATTCTTCGGATTAGATTTGATTCATCATACTTTGTTCTAAATTCCTCTTGTACAACAAGGGAGTGCCGTGAATCCCAGGTAGCCCACCAACCCTTATGATCATGTGCTAATGTTTTTGGCACAAAAACGATCTTCTGAGCTAACATTACCAACTTGCCTTCATGCATACTGTCCATTTGCCTTCATACGTGTGACCCTCTAATTCATTTTACATACTACGTACACCCCCCCCCCCCAACCCAAAAAATTTTTTCATTAAAATTACTCGTTGACAGGTCTTGCATTTTCTTTTGAAAGATGACATTCTGAAGTTGTGAACTACTCTGGATTAGGACACCTGGCTTGCCATTAATTTGCCCGTGGATGCCTCTTTTTTCAGACAAATGTTGGAGCAGCTTTTTAAAGGATTTCTAGGTATATACGTCGTCCATATGCTTATTTGGTCAGTTTTTAGTTTGACCATCAAAAGATTTAAGCATTCCTGTTTTAGTCTTATAATTAGTACGTACAATACAAATCGGGCTCTAGTCATTAATTTATACTCCTAATTACCGATCATAAATCTCACCTACCTCCTAATTCGATGGCTACACTAGACTACACTCTTCTCTCCTCCCTCCTTTGTCGATGAACAGTCATTCCATCTTCCATATATATGCACATCAAGATAGTAACAAGTCCGAGTCCTGACAAACTCTTTCCGTTCTTCAAACTGATATTTAAACCCCGGAAATCTATTGCGTGTGTGTGTGTAGAGAGGAATATTGAATGGGTTTTCTCATCATGAAACGGTCTTCTAATTTCACTCGGTCACGTCTGCTATCAGTAGCTTTGTTCTACTATTGCGGTCTGTTCCTGTTAATGTTTTCCGACACAGGTGAGGCCCGGGTGAAGCTACCGAAAAATGCAACAGTAACAGCTATTTTCGCTTTTGGAGACTCCATAGTTGATCAGGGTAACAACAACAACCTTTCCACACTGGTAAAGTGCAACTTTCATCCTTATGGAAAGGACTTTGCTGGCGGTGTTCCAACGGGAAGGTTTTGCAATGCTAAGACACCTCCGGACATAATTGGTAAGGTTTTCAACTGACAAGTACGGCCTGAAATATTCAGTTGAACACTTTTCTATGTTCTCCTCTATCTCGGGGTTTTATTTTGTTTCTGGAGTTTGAGGGAGAGGCTGCGTTGGGTAAGGTGACTAATTCAAGAAATTAAAGGCGTGGTCTTCTGTTCACGCTTCGACTTCACGCCCTCATTGGTTGGCTGGACAAGTAACCCACCCCCTCCCCTTTTTTTTTTTTTTTTTTTTCCAAAAACGTTAATATTGGCTGGACGAGTAACCGCACTGCGTAAATGTACCGTCTTCATAACGATTTTTACTTGGCAATAGGCCACCAAAAAGGGATTCCCGTGAAAAAAAAATATGTAAATGAAAAAAATTAGGTCGAGTTTTAAACCCTACTTACAGTAAAAAAAATCTAAAAATTATGTCAGAGTATTCCTTTGATTTAGTGAGATTTGTAATTCTAGTATCTTCTTATACAGTCATTTTAGACTCTTCTCCCCGTAAAATAAAATAGATTAGACTATAAAAAAATATGTTGCAATCTAGGAAAAAAAAAAAAAAAAGCTCGCCAAAGTTTTTGGTCAAGGAGTAGGCGTCTAATAGGCATTCGCAGACCAAAGCCCTGAACCAGAATCCACAAATTTGGGCCTTGTTTGACAGTCAAGTTTATCTGTTACAAGTTTTTTAAAAATTTTAATTACAGTAACCTCAAAAAATTTCTCAAAGTTTTTAAACTATACACTTCAAAATATCAAAAAAAAAAAAAACACACTTCAAAATTTTTTTTCAAAAACATCTACAGTAAGTTACAGAAAAGTTTTAGACAAACACCTAAAAAACTTACTTGTCAAACAGGGTCAATATAGAAATTCCTCAATAGTTTTAGAAGAGTCCAGAGCCGAAATAAAATCAAATCAGGAAAACTACCAATCTCTTAAGAAACCCGTAAATTCTGTATTCAATTGGAAAGAAGAAAGATGCAAGTTACATGTAGTGACTCAAGAATGAAAATTGGACAGCAGACTACTTTTTTCTTGTTTTGGTTGTTACTCACAGTTCTAATTACACGAGAGCGCTTATATTTCCAATTCAGCTGAAGAACTAGGAGTTAAAGATATCGTGCCAGCTTATCTTGACCCGCACTTGCAACCCAATGATCTCCAAACTGGTGTAAGTTTTGCTTCA